CCAAGAACGTCTTGCCGAACAAAATGGCAGCCAATGTGGTTATTGTTCTCCTGGCATGGTGATGAATATGTATGGGTAGGTACAACATACTACATGGAAAGTGGAGTGAATGATGATGTAGATAATATCAAAGCATCATAATGCCAACTCTTAGCAGTATTATTATTATATTATTATCATTGATTTTGATAGTGATGTGTTGATCTTGATGATGATGTTGATGATGATGATGGTGATAATGATGATGATGATGATAATGGTGATGATAATGGCAATGATGATGAAGGCAATGATGATGATGATGCAGTCAGTTGTTTTATTGACAATGACATTACATTGATATAATCTTAATGATGACGTAAATAGTAAAAGTAAGTTCTGTTATATAAAATTTCAATAATCCGCAGGTTACTGAAAAAGAATTCAACCCCCACCAAGMAAGAAGTGGAGGATCACTTTGATGGGAATATCTGTCGATGCACAGGTTAGTGACATGACTGCATGGCAGTAATACCTCTTTGAACTCTGTAACAACAGTTGTTTGTTAATCCATTGTAAATTTGGTTGGTTTGCAGGATACAGGCCAATACTTGATGCAATGAAAACCTTTTCTAAAGATGAAAATCCTATTGATATTGAGGTATGTCTGCTTGAGGGACAAAGATAATAATGTTCTTCATAATTAATGGTGATGATAATGGATGATGATGGTGATGGTGATGGTGATGGTGATGGTGATGGTGATAGATGATGGATGATAATGATGATGATGATGTTGGATGATGATGGCGATAGGTGAAGATGATGATAACCACTGATAACAACTGACGGTGATACTCACATTCTACCGTCATCTATAAAAGGTAGTTATGATAATGATGTTGATTATGACAATGATTTATATCTTGGGTAATGTTTGAGTCTTCAGATCTATTTTAATATTCCGTGCATTTTTTTGCTATGCATTTCAGGAATTAACAAGAAAGTGTAATGGAGCATGTCCTAGAAAGAGTGTTGCTCTTCCAAACAACAGCAATGGTGCATTATGGTTTAMTCCATCTACACTAAAAGATCTTTTGACATTAGTTGCCAAATATGCCAGTGAGAAGATCAGGATTATAGCTGGCAACACTGGCAAAGGTACCAGCTTTGAATCTTAGAAACAAGGAATATTATATTCAGGATTAAATTGGTTTTGTAAACAGACTGCTGTTCATTAGTTTTATAAACTGGATCAAACTGGTTTCATAAAAGGGATTGAACTGGTTTTGTTACTTAAATTAACAAGTTTTGTAAATTGGACTTTGGAATAGCCTTTTTGTTTCTTCTTCTGATGAACAGGTGTTTTTRCCAATGATGGTCCATTCAAAGTCTACATTGATGTGAATAACATTGCAGACTTGAAGATTACCAAGGTTAATAATATGTTGCTAACTGCTTATTTATCAAGGGGGGTAAGGGGGGGGGGTAAGGGTTGGAGTTTTTTAGGGGCCCAGGAGTTGGAAAAATAACTGTGTCAGTTGCAGGTGGGCAAAGCAGCAGAAGCCAGCATCGGCAGTTAACAATAAGAATCCTTCCTCCTTAAAATTCGCCATGTAAGTTTATCTAATTTTTTTTTTAATTTACAGACAATGGATGACAGTTTAGTGGTTGGAGGATCTGTGACGTTGACTAACTTGATTGACTTTTTGGTTCAAAATGCTTCCTCGTACCCCCCTTATGCTGTACTGGCAGACCACATACAAAAAGTAAGCRGTAAATCTTAAATGACTTGGTCACAGTACAGAACTGATTATWAGCATTCAACCAATCAGAGCGCATCAACATTACTGCTCATYCAATCAGAATGCAATACCTTGTTATGTCACAGTAATGTCATGCAATCAGGRCATGGCACAGTGAAATACAAAATGAGGGTAAAACATCATAATAAAATCGTGCACTTTAATTGTTTCATGACATCATTAGGTGTTCCGTGTCTCTTTGAATATCTTKTTGAATCAAAATGTCTTGGATGCAAAAAAATAAAGCAAGCCACTAAAAATTTACCTTTTGCCATTTCTTAGGTTGCTAACGTCCCTGTGCGAAATGTAAGTATTTTTAGTTTTCTTGATCTTAACTGAGATGTCTTCTAGCTGTTTCTTTCAATTAATTTGAATTATTTTTTCTCATTTTTACATTTTTAAAATCCAAATTATGTCACTGAGAACTGAACCAAAAAGTAGGCAGTTTAACTACAGTGTCAGTAGTATATTGTAGTTAGAGCACAATGCATCATCTACTGTTCCTCCTACCGAACCAACACACCTGCATGAATCCTAGTTCCATCAGAGATCAGACAAAGACCACTAGTGGGTTAGCTATGGTTCCAACTTCTTTGCACTATAACTTCATGCAGAATGTTTTTTCTGCATCTCCCAGTAATCGGACAAAAAATTGGTTTCTATAAAATGCTATCTGGGAAATAAAGAAACCTTGAAACCTATGCAGTCTTTAGGTACATAGTACACTTCACTAAATTTGCTCTCCATCATTTCTCCTCTCTACTTTAAATAATGGCCAAAACTCTTGGATATCAATTCCATCATGCATCAAAGACCRCTGATTGGTTAGCAATAGAGCTACAAGCTATTCAGTGCTAGCCTGGTTGATTGCATTGATTCTTATATTAACCCTTTTCATTTTGTCAGGTTGGTACCGTGGCTGGTAACCTAATGTTAACTCATGATCATGCAGACTTCCCGTCTGATATCTTTACCATTTTGGAGGCTGTCGGCACTAAAGCCCTTATTGGTAAATATTTCATTATTTTTAAATCATGCCATATTTACAGTTAATAACTGACTCACCATTTTCCGTATACATTTGTTCACTGGTCAAACACAAAGCATTCAGTTGAGGTTGCAACGTTCAAATCTGAATAGTTATTTGAAAGTACCTTGGCGCCTCGCTTGAGCGCTTTGTGTTTGACCAGTGAACCAATGTATGGAATATGGTGAATATCGTGAAAGATGGAAACAAAATGTATTTATTCCTTAGGCACCCAGAATTCCTATGGGATGCATGGATAACATTTTGCTTTATAATTAAATATATATCTTGAATAAGGAATAAAGATTTTGATATATCCTGTATGAATTTCTTGTCCAGTTGATTCCAAGACACAGAAGCCATTGCAGTATTCTCTGATGGACTTTTTATCACTTGATATGAYGGGCAAGGTTAGTCTGATAATGCTGTACTTTACTTCTCTTGGTATTACATGTATGACATACTTGTGATACATAGTAAACGCACATGCATGCTGTATGCAGCTATAAAGCATGAGAGGGTTGGCAGAACAAGAAAGAAGTGTTAGAAGAAGCATGATGCTTGTTAGTGTTCTGTCAATCCCCAAGTGCTTTGTTACTGCACATTGCCCAGCATAGCACAGCAAGCAAGTTTTTTATTTCTTTTATAGAATACAAATTACAATAACCTTTGTTTTGGATAGGAATGGCGCAATTGAAATTGCACCTGAGTGCTGTGTGCTGTCATATATCACRCACTCCCAACCAATCAGAACGTGAGAATTAAGACAGTTGTTTTATGATGAAATTTAGATTGACTTGCTAAAGGTTGTTTATCTTGAATGCATTCCAAATTTCATCAAGAAAAAGTGTGATTTCTTTTGTATTTTTGTGTTAGCCTTGGATTAAAGATAATTCTGAGGTCATTATTGTGATTCGAATTCGCTCTAATTGAGCATTTCAAAACCAAAACCACTTCTGGTATTTTTGTGATTGATAGTGTGTAAGTTTTGTGCTTTCTGATTTGTTGGTTCACAGCAGAATCTTTTTCAAAGCACCGGCGGCTCCATCTGTTTTATTTACCTGCTAAGAGTTTTTTCTTGATCTTTGGCAGATAATTGTTATGCTTATCATCCCGCAATCTTCGTCCAAAAGTAGTGCATTTGTTCGTACTTACAAAGTCATGCCAMGAGCTCAGGTAAGGAAAACGTTTGGTTGGACTGACAGGATGATGACAGGAACTGAAATGTGAAACAATTATGCTCCATCCAAAAACCTGGACTTTTCTTCTTTACTTTTTGACCATGTGCTAACTCCTTTTCTCTTTTTGATTTCTTTTATATGTTTTGATCGGTAGAATGCTCATGCTTACGTCAATGCAGGATTCGCTACGACGTTTGACCAAACTTCAATGACTGGGACATCTTACCGTATTGTTTATGGAGGAATTGGCCCTTATGTGGTAAGTTATATAATAATGGTCTGCAGTATATAAATTGCATTGTGTGATAAATACRCATGCTTTAATATGCTGTACTAAGTTAACATGCTTTTGTAGGATAATTTACTTTTTGTGTACTTTTTTCGTACTTAGAGAATGTAATTTGTAATGACATTTCAGACACACGTGCCTAAGACAGAAGCATTCCTGGAGGGAAAATCTATRACTGACCCTAAAACATTACAAGGTGAGAGATACAGGGCAACATAATCATTACTGTCACCATCGATCATCAGCACAAATTATCATCATCATAATTAATCACCATCATCACCATCATCATCATTATCACCATCTATCATTATCACCATCGTCCTCATCATCATCATCACTGTCATCCTAATCATAATCATAATCACCATCATCACCATCAACATCCTCCTCTTCATTATCACCATCATCACTTTCATCCTCGTCATAATCACCATCACCTTCACCTTCACCATCACCATCATCATCACCATCACCATCACCATCACCATCACCATCACCATCACCATCACTATTGATTTAATCTCATTTCTTCTACCATACATAGGAGCTCTTGCAATCCTTGACAAAGAACTTGTTCCAGACTCACCAAAAGTCAGTGCAAGTCCTGAATATCGTAAAAGCCTTGGATTGAGCTTGTTCTACAAGGTATTTGGAATGCAGATAGGAGCTGGGAACGTGAATTATTTGATCCTGATTTACTGTATTGATTATATATTTTGTGTCATATTTTGTGTCTTAGTTTTACCTCTCCATGCTTGGTAACCATGCGTCTTCACGTGTCAAATCTGCYGCTGTGCCATTTGTCCGTCCAATATCAACCGGGAAACAGACTTTTGATACCAAACCTGATAAGTTTCCTCTTACCAAGCCAATGACTAAACTTGCTGCAAAGTTACAGGTAATGCAATGTGGTAACCCACACTATATTAGTATTATTCAGTCCTTTCTTCGGTTGCAGAATTAAAATGCTATTATGCCCCGGTCATTACTAATATCATTTTTAACTCGATAAGTCACAGGATGCATGTGATAAGTCATTAATGAACAGGAGACAGGGTTCATGCTACTCCTTAAACTCCTTGAAAACTCCTTGAATTTAATTCACGTTTTCAAGGGCACTTGAAAAGCTCTTGAATACTAAGATTTTAGTGAAACGCCTTGAAAACTCCTTGAATTTTGCTTCAATCATTACTTGCATGGTTCTGAATTATAGATCTAGTCAGAAAGATTGGAATTTCTGAAAGTCGGCCATGTGTAACCTCCTTGTAAAACTTGGCATATTTAGCTGAACATACTCATACTCTTTGAAAATTCATTTTTGGGTCCTTGTAAACTCTTTGAATAGTCCTTGAATTTTAAGTGGTTACCTCRGCACGAACCCTGAGGAGAAATATGTGTCACAGACACTGTCACACATGTTCTGTCTTACTTCAAAAGATAGCAACACTATATTAAAAGTCAAAAATAATTTAATATTTTATCTTCCAGACGTCTGGTGAAGCGGTGTACACTGATGATATACCTTCCCAAGGAGGAGAGCTTTTTGCTGCATTTGTTCTTACAACTCAGGTTTGTACAGTAGCTGGATTAATTCTTTATCAAAAAGCCAATAGCTCGTGATAGGCAGGCCCTGACGGGGCTCTGACTTTGATCAGCCCAGAGGTTCCAGGTTTTAGGTTTCAATCTGTGATTTAGCCACGCCCTGATGTAGATCAGTCCAGAGGTTGTAACAGGGTTCTATCTGTGATCATGTGTGCAACTGCAAGCTTGATAATAGATGAGGTTACTGGTGTTACAAGAGCAAATAAACTACAAACTAAAACTYATGATACATATCATTTCCTAGGGAAACTGTAAACTTGATAAGATTGATGCAAGTAAAGCAAAGGTACAGTAAGTTTTGCCAGCTCTTGCCATATCTTGCAGGGACCGTGGAGACACCCCCCTAAGCCCCCCTCCCCCCTTAGTTTCCCCATACTATAGTCTCTTATATTTTCAAGTATTAGCCCCCAAATAATTTTTAGGGTGGTCCGCGGTCCTTCTCTTSTATTTTTGCTTTTGTCTGTGATGCTTTTACTGAGATATTAATGTCTATAGTTTTGTATTATCATTTCAAACCAGACAATGACAGGTGTAGTGGACTTCTTAACAGCATCAAATATACCTTCCAAGGGAGTCAACAGCTTTTCTTCCAAGGATCTTCAACCTGAGGAGATATTTTGTAGTAAAGATGTCTTGTATGCTGGTCAGGCTGTTGGACTTGTTATTGCAGGTAAATATGAATACTACATAAAAGGGCAT